TTCTGCATTGAGCTGACCATACCATCTTAAAATGAGAGAGAGAGACGCACACCACCTATGCATCCAGGAGCAGTCCTTCCTTGCCTAATCCCCATTAGACACTTTAAGCTCCTCTCTAATGAACACCCTTTACCCAAAAATCCTCTCATTCCACTGCCCCCCGCTCCTCTGCGACCCTGCCTTGCGGCACTCTCCAATGTTAGCTACTCAGCATGTTTTTCAGCATGGTGTGGATGCGCTTTCAATCATCATTAGGGGGTTTTGCGGAGTCCTGGGGTCTGGGCAACGTGCCAGAGTGTGTAAAAGTTTCCATGAGGAATGCCTCGAGTTGCCCTCGGAAGCGTCAGAGCCGAGTGGAGGTTTTCAAGAAAGTCAGAATCCTTACTTTGTTGTTGGGAGGAAGGAAAGAGGAAAGGAGGAACTGACAATATTGCTTCCAGTTTGAGAAAACAACCCTCACAGTAGTTGTTTTTTCTTTTTTTTTTTTTTTGTTTAAATGCACCGCCTCTGAATTTAACAGGAAACAATCACAAGGAAAACGACAGCGCAACATGGAGCAATCGCAGCACATATGTCAAATGTCAAAAAAGTCAGCAGAGGCTGCATTGTGCTTTGTGTTTGTCTTATTTTGGGGAATAAGGGCCCTCTGTTTCTCTGAGAGGCAGCTGGTAGAAATCTAGCTCCCTGATTAGTCCAAGTTCCTTTGCTGTCTGCTGCTTTTAGCTGCTTTTCATGACATCACCCTTTGCCAAAGCAGCTAATGAGACAGGACAAATGGCATAAGCCTCAAACATCTAGAATAGGTAGCCACTGTTTCTGTTCCTTCCACACCCACTTGTCCACTGCAGAACACCTAATGCTAACAGAAACCATCTTACAAGAGAAAGACTGATTGTTTTCAAAGGAAATAAGACTGTATATATATATATATATATATAAATATATATAGTTGCAAAAGTGTCACGTGTGTATGAATGAGCAGGGTACAGTTTTAGACATGTGGGGAAGGTGAAGTCATTCGAACCAGCCTTGAGAATGATTAAAGAAAATGTGCAAATGCTTAAACTTTTCTTTTTTTAGACTTAATTAGTGCAACTCAAATGTTAATAGCGCATGTACTCATGTACGGTGATGTCATTTGTCTGCCCTCTTCCAAGTCATGTGCCTTATAAAACACAGATAGTGGGGTGTGAGTAAATATGCAATGTCTAAAAATCGGTTTTATGTGAGCCTGACCATAAGCTGTTTGCGACGTTGAGTCAACAATGCAACCAGGCATAGTCTTCGCTCAGCGGGTGTTTCACCCTCTGCTGCTTCCACCCACTGAACCATGCGGGTCTGTGAGTATATCTCCAGCTAGGAGCAGCAAAACTGTGGCGGGTGAGAGCCAAGATGCCACTGAGTCGAAATGTTTAAGCCTACTGCCAATAGGAATCTTCCTCTAGCTCCCCCCATCCTGACTCCACTGCACGAGAATAATCACCTTCTGCTTTATGCTGCCTCCATCGCAGAGCAGGGAAGACTTTAACAGTTTATGACAGGGAGAGTGTATGGCAGTCTGGGGGCTTTACACCTCCCTGCACACTAACCCAGGTCCTTGCGGTACAGTAGCTCACTGTTGATAACTTGAGGGATTTCTCGGGGGCTGCGTAAAATCTGGACCTGGCCAGAGAGACACATTTCCTCTGGATGATGGGAGCCGGAGGCCTCCGCGCTCAAGCGTGGGTGGTGCGCCACTCTTGGGGAAGATCAAGTTTGCTCCCGCAGACTCCAAATCACCGGCCTCCCGATTGCTAAGGAGGAGAGCTATTCCACACGGCTGGCGTTAAATCACCGCTACTGTGGTGAGGTCATCCGCCTGTCTTGCTTCTCTAATGGAGCACTGCCTCGCTAATATAGGGCGGTAATGCGTGTGAACAGGGAGCGGGGCGCCCTGCAAGCTGCCTTCCGATCTTATTTATTTTAGCTTAGGGCTCATTTAAGGGGTTTGGGATGGGGCCAGGGCTTGCGAGCAGCAGATGCCTTGGCAGTGTGCTGTTACCACCGCACACTTACCGGGACTCCAGCAGCTCACCGCAGATGCTCGCTCAGACATTAGGTGATGCGAAAAGGCAGCTCGCTGAGGTTTTCAAGGAGCTGCCTCGCAGTCCTTGTTCAATCGAAGCACATTCCTGCGCGTCGCTAATGCAACTGTAATCACTAGCTGAATATATCTGGCCACCGTTCTTTGAGGAGGATTGCTAAAGTGATTGAGTACTTTACTAGAAATAGGACTGCTTGATAAATTTTGCTTAAGTTCATCCGTTTGCCTGGTCTGACAGTGCTGGACAGATGTTTCCACATGCTCATCGTTGGCACAAAGGTTTTATTGTAATTTTAATGTTGTTTTTTTTTGTCAAAGTGAACTGAGGATTTCATAAACATCTGCAAGGATTTTCTAAAAGACAAAAATTCAGTTCAAATGTTTTTGGTAAAAATAAACTTTTTAATAAAATATTCACAGGGGAAAATAATTTACCATTCTGCATAAAGAGAAACTAAATTTAACTTGATGGTATCAGATTTGGACACTTTTTCTCATAGCGTATGTTGAACTATGTTTTTCTTTAACTGTTTGTTTAGATAAAGGGTGGCCTTTCACTAGTGGCCTAGTGAAAGCTCAGATCCAATTGAGATGCTATGACATGAGTGCCATCAAGCGTTTGTTTGAAAAATCAGTAGCTGTGGAGACCTAGTTGCTGTCAAGGGTAACACAATTAGCTTTTAGGTTTCGGACTATTACTTTTTCACATCATGCCAATTTAGTTTGAACATCAATGTTTACATTGACAAGTGAAATTATTATATGAAAATTACATTTTGTGTTTACCCAGGTTGACTCTGCCTGATATCAAATGTGATTGACAGTCTAAAACATTTAGGCGTGACAATTTAAAAAGAAAAAATTTTTAGGGGGAATCTCTAACAAAGTATCTTCATTTTATCAATATGCAGTAATGCTGTAATTAAGATGTATGTAAACACAGAGGACAAATTTAAACTGAAGGTTACACTTCAGTGTTACTAAGAACTCATCCGAATGAGGCACAAAAATAAAACAAGGCACAGGGGGAAGAAGGAAAAGTTTAGCATGAGACAACAGACTCGTCTCCTTATAGTTTGTTGATGAACTGTGGACTAAAGGGACTCATCAGTGCCGACAGAAGTGCTGAGAGCTGAATTTCATCTCAATTACAGTCCTACAGCAACACGCCCCTGGTCCCCTCATGCCTATCACCCCTTTAGTCCCAGAGCGGCTGAGTGGGGAGCAGATAAAGTGGACAAGCGTGCACAAATAACCACATACACATCGTAGGCAAGAGCAGATCGCTTAACAAAATGTGCGCAGGAAAAGCGATATTCCTGAGTTTAGTGTGGAGGTGTCTTTGGCCAACCTCCACAAGGTCACAGACAGATTTTATTTACTATCTTAGGCTGGCAGGATGCCAGTATTGTGATATATGAATGTATATCAAAACAACAAGTGCTACTTCTGTTAGCATAGATAACAGGTTGCTGACCTGAGAGACCTAACGTGAAATGGACACAGGAGGCAATAGAGCCAGCCACATGGTCCCATGGGTGTGACTGGTTTCTCTGCCAGAGGGAGAGTAGTGACCCCACAGTCTCCCTTGATGACGACAGTCACACTGTGTCGACTCCATGGAGAAAACGACGGGAAAACAAAGCCTCTGTCTTCCGCCCCTCGGCATCGCTCCCAGAAATATGAAGGGGGGGATTTCGGGGAGGGGGAACTGCGGTTTGGTTCAGGAAGCCCCTACCCATTGTTTTGCTTCCTTCATTAGTCGTCGTGTCAACAGGTTGGCTCGTTATGCGTGTGCCACTGTTTTTGTTCTGCTGCACCCCGGCTGACCTTGGTGCTCTGATGTTTTGACAGATTGTTTCAAAATCCCATCAAGGCAGTTTAGCGTTTTGAAGCAAAGCAGCCGATACGATGCTGGGGCCGAACGTTCCACCAAAAGCAAATAAATCAGAAGGGTCTAAAATTAAACAAGCGTGACGCAAATCTGCTGCTAGCATTTCATCAGGAAATACTAAGAGGTGCAGCAGGGTGTGGTTTTCTGTGAAGAGCTGTAGATAAGCAGTCATGTATGGCAGGCTTATTAGCCTCATTAAGATAAGGTTTTATTGGAAAAAACATCAACTACATCTAGCTGTCCATCCATTGTCTTCAACTTATTCAACATAAGCTCAAAAGGTAGGAGCCTCTGGGGGGAAACCCAGGGAACATTTTCATGGGATTCCTTGGTACTCACATTCCAGAGGGTAACTATTAGCCCCCAAATGGTAAATGGTACTTGTATAGAACTTTATCGAGTCTGGAGGACACCAAAGAGCATCACATTACATTCAATCATTCACCCATTCACATGCTGATGGTGGCAAGCTACTGGATAATAGCCATAGTTGCCCTGGGGCAGTCTGAAAAAATGCTCCAAGTCTGACCTTTGGTCTCCACCCACTGTGATGTGTCTCAAGTGAAGTCATCCATGAGACATCTTGATCAGATGTTTGAACCATCTCAGCTGCTTACTCTCTGAGATATACCTGGATGATGGAGCTTCTCACCCCGTCTCTAAGGCCAAGTCCAGCCCCCTTGTAGAGGATGCTTGTTTTGGGTGATTGTAAGCAGAATCTCATTTTTCTGGCCATGATCCATATCTCACAACCATAGAAGAGCAACAGAGCAGAGACTGGTAAATTGAGAGTTTTGCCAAAACATACCAAACCCAAACATACCAATACCGAACCCACATTATGGCATATGTACAAGAGACATATTTACCCCATTCCGTTCCACCACCACTTGTGCAAAAGACTCCAAGATGCTTGACCTCCTTTGTTTGAGCCAGACACTTACCCCAGAGATTCACCCATTTCATTGATTGTGTTACTAACAGTTTCAGTTCGTCAGAATGAGTAACTTTGCAGTAACTCACCATCATCGAGATACATCTGATCCAGTTCCTGGGGCTCTTGCTTGATGGTAATGTCCATTGATGCTGGAGTGGTGTCTTCATCTAGCAGGCTGGGCGGACTTCCTGCAGCCTGGGCTGAGCTGCCTGAAGCCTCTGCCTGGCTGGGGCTGTACGCTTGAAAAAACGGTGTCTCCGCTGGCCCACCAGGAGTGGAAGGGTGAGACACTGGGGATGATGAGGAACTGCTGTTGGCATAGACCGAATGGTGGTAACCAAGGGAACCTGGGCTACCCTGGGAGTGGAGCACCGCTAGGGAAGAGTTGTGATCTGGCGACGTCGGGTGCGGAAGGCTTGGACAGGAAGGGGTCTCCTGAATGGGGGACGCTACAGTGCCTGGTGCGGCAAGAGTTGGGCTGTTGGGGAGGCATTTGTTGTATGCAACAGGGGACAGATCGTGCAGGGTGGGGCTTGAGCTGGGTGATGACGGTGGCATGGCAGCATGGCGGGGCGGGCAAGGAGGGTAGCCACCAACCAGGCAGGGGTCAGGTTCAGCAACAGGCATGATGGACGTCAGCCTGGGCTGGCCGTAGTAGGGCTTTGAATGCATAGACAGCCCGACACTCCCAAGAGAATCATACTCATCAGTGGGCTCGGTTTTTATTATTGGTACTGGAAAGAAAGAGCAGAGAGAAAGTGGAGATGTTAAAAAAAAATAAAAGGAAATAAAAAGTCAACGTGAAAAGAAGCCACGTGGCGCAGTGAGTCCATGGATAATAACTGTGAGCAAATACAGTTTTGGCCACAATATCCTCCCTAATACCAAACAACCAGTGGATTTAGGCTCGGCATGAACTTGGCTGTATCTTTTAACGGAGAAACCCCTCACCCGTCGCACCCCTCTCCCCCATCACCACCACTATCCTTACCACAGCATGAAAAAGTAGCAAAACAGGGGGAAAGAAAAATGGATGAGTCATCAGTGTGGAAAGCCACAGCTGGCTCTAATAATGAGTAAGACCTATTTTCTTTGGAATCTCCTCCAACTCTGATATCCAATAAAAGTCCTTTAAAGCACTGGACCGCTGCTGCCGCTGCTGCTCTAGGAGCCCAGGACCCCCAGGTTTCCTCCACACACTCTGGAAGTAATTGATTCTCTCAGGACCAAAAAGATAGACGGGGAGCGAAAAAAACCCCGAAGTTGATTTGATTTTGATTAGACTGCCTGAGCAGCATAAGAGGTTGCAGAGCTGAGCCTGTGGTTTTGAGAGCTTCAGACTTCAGCTAATGCAGGAGAGTGCTGTGACCCCCCCCACACTTGATCGTCCTGCCTTCTCTCTTCAAATTTCTTATCCAATGCAGCCAGTCTGCATTACTTCCTGAGAGCGCTTCTTGAGTGACAGGTATCAGGTGCTTCCACTGCACTGTTACGGTTTTGTTGTCTAAAACGGAACCAAAAAAAAAAAAAAAAAGATGGAATGATATCTGCATTTATGGGCTTTTTGCCGAGTTATTACAAAAGTACGTAATCACAAACTGTGCCAGGACAAAACTAATTGGCTGGTGTTAAGATACCCTAAAGTATAACAAAGTCTTCAGAGTCACAATGGACATTCTGTTTCTATTCCTGCACATTGTTGAAACATATTAATGGGTGTGGTGCCAGCCTTTAAAAGTTTCTGGCTATGCTTGCTGCAAGTGACATTTACTCAGAGGCATGGAGTTTTCACTATGAATAGAGTGTCTGTTTTCAGTGCGTGAGATTGTAAACAGCAGAGTGTATGAGTGGTAGTAGCAAGTAAAGGTGCAAATGAAGCGTCGGTCTGTCACGTGACACGCGGCCTGTTTTTCACTGCGTTATAATTTATGTTTTTTTTTTCTTTTCGACTGGATTTGAAAAGACACTAATCACACATGTAGCCTCTGGGGTGATGAGTGATAACGCAGGAGGGAACACATTTACGTCAGCTCTCTGAGTTTTAAAAGCCAAGGGACCAGGCTTTGGTGTGTTGGGGAGCGTCGTAAGGCACGTCCCGTGATGCACACGCCTCCTCTCCACAGCCTGGGGAGTAACAAATAAGTCACATGGTCACACTGCATCCAAGCCTTTCACTTCTCTGCCATTTCTTAGTTTAAATGGATACCAGATTGCCATAAAACCATGTCAGTGATGTCAAGTGGAAACCATAAAGTATTTATTTATTTTTTTTAAATTTAGCTTCACCAAATCAGACCATTGGTTATTAATGGAAATTTGATCTCATGACGACTTAAAATCCTGTTTAGTACGAGTTGTGACGTTAAAAAAGTTTGACAGAGCCTGACAACAGTCGTTTCCATTTGGCTAAATAGGAACAAAAACAAGCGATTTTTCAAATCAACAACATAATCCTGAGGTTCCAACACTGAAATGCAGTACATTCTGCCCTTCCAGTTAAGGAGAATTTATGAGAGAAAACTAAGTTCACGAATAAAAAGTTTATTCAATATTCAATAGATAGTTTTTTTTTCTTCCATTGCAGCAGACACAAATAAAATTTTCTTCCCCCTGAATTATCTGAATTTCCTTTCCATTGAGAAAAAAATTTACTATTTCACCACACAATAGAAAAGTTGCCAGACAGTTGGCAACTGCGCTCATCAACAAAAACAGCCAAGCACCCAGATGACATGGTTCAGGTTGAATTTAATTTGGTACACATCCAGACGAGTAATAGGTCTGTATATTATTAAAATGATAAACCGGGACATCTAGAAAGGGCTTTTAGACAAACTTTAGCTGACTTAAGTACTAGCATCACAAGTGGAGTGTTATAAGGCAGTGGTTAGAGTTGGCATTGTTAGAAGTTGAGTAGAAGTTGCATTTTGGTTTGCTTGAAGTCGGAGTGTTGAAATGTAGAGCCATATGATTCTACAGTGACAGGATGTTGGAACCGCTGGGCATCCACCTGTCGAAAAGGTTCTGGTTTTATAAGAAAGACCACAGTAACACAGAGTGGTTGACTTGGTTGTCAAGCATTGAATAACTTCATAATATCAGCATCTTCTATACCGACCCAAGTACTTAAACCCTTAAAACTGCTTGTGAAGTTTCACAAAATGTCTGGAATCATAAGACAACAGGTTCAGCAACCAGTCACTACCACTAGAGTGGCTGAACTCTGAATGGTCCCGTAACCACGGGTTTTGAAAACTTAATTGATGGAATTTTCCACCAATTAATTTAGCCATTCATTGTTGGAATGGCTAAATCCCATCCACATATGAAATTCAGTACGGTCTGATATTAGGGATCCTGACAGGATAGGGCTTCACGAGTGGCAACCTGCGACCACATAGTTTAACTAGCCTAAGTGGCAAAGAGTATTTTTTTCAACAAGATAAAGCCAACACATATTCTGATGGACTATAAAGTGTCATCTTGAAATCCTTCCATTGCCAACCGGCCTGTGCTTAATTTCTCCAATCTAACATGTTGGATAACCCATGACTTCGACTCAGATCCAGGGCTATCTAGACTTTTCAGAAGGCCTGAAGGGATATGCTATCCAAGACAACTGGTACTTCCAAACTTCATTCTCAGGATCAACACAAATATTTGACTTCTCAACACCTGCTGTTTCATTTTATGTGCAACACTCAATTTGGGTGCAGAAAGTTTTTTGGCAACGAGCGTATTTCCTCCTAACCAGTGTGTTACGGCTTGAAGACAATAACGCTCTGCAATTTTCTCTTCTTCCCCAGTAGTTAACTCTGCTGTCTGCTTGCATTAAACTCATTAGCTGTGCACTTGTAGCTTTAAAGAGCACTTGTTAATTTGAAAATAAAATGGAATAAGGTAAGCAAACATGTAGATATTTGATTCCTTAATAGTGGTTTGTCTTTTAAAACTATTGCAATTGCAGTTACAGCACTGCTGTGCAGCAAAAATTATTTATTTTGGGGTAAAGATCTGCAATAACATTGGTAGTGGAACTGGTGGTAGTTTAACTCGAAGGTACCTGGTGCAGTGCGTCCTGATGAGACGCAATCTGGTCACCAAACATACTCTGGTCGTTAGAATAAGGTATGTGGGTTTCATAAAACTTAGCACAGGAGAAATGACTGAAACAGCTATGTCCTTGTGCACATTTTGGAAAACCATAACTCGACAAATACTTATAAAAAAGAACAACGTGTGGTTCAGAAAGTCTTCCCGTGTGTGTGTGTGTGTGTATGTGTATGTCTGTGTAACAGAACATGACTGTGGCAGTCTTCTCCCAAACTCCAGCCACAAAGAAATGGGGTGTGGAGCAACGTTAAGAATAGAACTTGATATTTTAGAGGAATCTCCAAATGGCCTGTAAAAATAAAGGGGTTCCGAGAAGTTCTTTGTCCAAGCAACGGTTGTTGCCAGCATGTTTCTGGCATTTGTTGTTTAATGTGGTTGGTGAAAACTGTTTCTTATTTGAAGAGCACCACGTCACATCGCTGCTCATGTAACAATGATTGGAAGGGTGCTTGGAAAAGCCAGTCTCACTGCAGAAGTCAGACAAGGGCAGTTGCACGGACCTCCTAGCATCATGGACAAACATGCAGGCTTGACTCCAAATGCAGCTGATGGCATATAAAAACTGAAAATGTCTTTTTGAATCAGTGAAAGATTCCAGTTATGCAAAAGAAAGGCACATTTTTACTGTAGTATGCATTTGTGTATTAATATAGACATTAATATGTTGTGTTTTCCATCTTGCTATGTAGATTGGAATATAAAAAAATGTCTCTAAATGCTTAGAAATGATATTCGTTTGAAAAAAAAAAGTTCTACATTTATGAAGTATATATGACACTTTTGATGCAAAAGTGTTTTGACTAGTGTATGTATGAACTGGGATCCACTGAGCCAGAACAACATATCTGTGTTCCACTGTGACATTGCCTTCTAGTTTTTATCTGTACTTAAAAATCTGAAAACAAAAGATCAATGTTTCTATACACAGTCTATAAGCAGCACTACATTGTCAAATAATAACTGATTTGATCACAAAATAGGTGGGGTGTCGTTTGCTTATGCATAATGTCATTTGACATTCTGAATGAGAGGATCTTCATTGGCACTGACCGAGAACCTGCACAGTGTAGCATGAGGTAAACATTATATTATTAGGTGGTTACGGCAACATTTGAGAAGCACTTGTGGCAGTTCTATAGCAGTAGAGCAAATGTGTGCTATAGATCATAGCAGAATACCCACTGTGCAACATTTTTTGTCACATCAGTCACATTAAGTTGAATTTGCTCCAGTATCACAGTGTAGTTTTAATGCCTGTTTTAATTTTCAGTCAACTTTTTAATCAAGAGATAAGTACAGTTTTTTTTAAGAGAGACATTGTTTTTATCTGGAGAATTACATTCAAATTCGGTTGTACAATGTTCCATTGTTACAATGAGTTTCTAATCCGTTCTGTTCACATGTGAAGAGGATGATGGTGCGACACCATTTTTTACTGTACCTAGAGCAGAAACTCTTCCCGCAGAATTGAAATGGGGGGCAAAGCATGATCCTGTGGAGGTTTTTCTGTTTCTGTCAGACTACAACAGGAAAAGGACTATGTTTTTATGATGCACTCCTGATGCTACCACTTCACTATACAGGCAGCAACAAGCAGTGTGAGGCTGATAAAATCTGCTGACATGTCTTGAGCAATGTGCTCTACTGAAGCACCATGTGTCAGCAGACACGCTAAACCATCCATTTCTTTTTTCCTGTGTTTTCTCAGTGCGTTAAGCTGTTTGAAAGCAGTGGCTGCTGATAGCATTTTCATTAGCGTCAAAGAATAACAAGTGGTCACATGATCTGAATGGAAAATAAAGGCGGTTTTCAGCATCTGTGGCCCCGAGAGTGTTAGCTCCATCCTTCCGCTGTTTCAAACAAGTGGGTCTATTTTAAGGCTTGGGCTCGCCTTTTTATAGCAGAACAGACACCAGAGTGTGAAAGAAATGTTCTCTCCCTACAACGTCACTGACCACAACTGAGCTTGAAGTGGGACCATGGGCCGGAAGACTCTTTTCATACGAGCGAGCAAAAAGTGTTGACAAATGTTTGTGTGTGCGATTGCGTGAATGTGTGGGTGTCTTCCCTTCCCCAGCCCACCCCGAGTACCTTGCCGCAACGTCGCTCGTTTTACTCACTGTTGACACACAAGCACATACTGAAACCCTCAAAAGCAAAGAGCTTCACTCGGATTTCCTCTTTCAGTGTAGCTGTATTGAAACTCTTACAGTCATCAGGACTACAAAGGGTCTCTTTAAGCTGATTATGACCTTTATGCAGCATTACTTTAAATTGCACATCCATGGTTTTAGTGTTTGTCTGAGGGGGAGTCTAGAGTTGAGTGATCTCAAAAATATTTCAGTTTCAGCAGTAAGGCAACATCAAATAAGCTATTGAGTGCTATTGGGCTTGTGACATTTATTTACTCATTTCTTTATTTTTAAGAATAGGCATTTTTTTCCCCCTTTTTTTCATTATGAAGTAGGACTACGAAACAGTGGCCAAAGTCTAAATCGAATTTGAGGCTCACCGTTTCTTGCTCTGACTCCTGTGGCTTAATTATGCATCTTTAAGAAGGTACTTGCTCTTCTTGTGTGGTCCACAGTGTGTTTGTGGTTTACTTGGCAGCAAAAGGGCGACCACGAGTCATCTTTTAATAAGAGTTGTGTTTGTGCACAAAAAAATGGATCAGTGAAGGAGCCTCGTAGCATTTTCTTTGTGTCTGCCTGGGCCCTCTGTCAACGGCGCTCGTTCATACCACGACCAGCCTCTGCAAAATCGCTGGCATTTGCAACGTTTGTGTAATTCAGTTACATTTTATGTAATGTGACGGCACAAAGCAGCGTATAGTTATGAAAGGAAAAGCGTACATTGTTTACTAAAGTTTTTGAGAAATCTTTATTTTAAGCCTCCTATTACTCTGATACTCCTAAATGAAATTAAATTGAATCAATTACGGCTCTTGGATAACATTCCATTTTATAATATTATAAATTTTGGGGGGGGGACACCAGTTACATGAAGAAGTGTGATTTATTAAACTGCACATAGTATGTGCGTTCAATCATATTTTCAAATGTATTGATAATTATTGATACTTTCATTGAACACAGAGGAGAAAATAGCAAAAATAACAATCCTGACAATACGAACAGTTCTGGCTTTCATTAACTGGAATTTATTTTAAAAAATAAACAGATAAAAATTATCACAATTAATGAAAAAACAATGCTATAAATGCTCACACCAACAGGCAGGGCTTAAATATACACCATTTTGATGTTTATGGTAAAAAAAAAAAGAAAACTGTTTATAGTTTGAGCTATTTATCTTTATCAATCTGTTTGTAATCTCCGAACCGGAACATTCTACATTTTATGAGGTCTCTATTCTCGTGTGCTTGTCTCCTGTGCCCATCAAATATCTGCTGATGATGTAAATGTCACATCTTATTAACAGCTCTGGACCTAAAACAAGCTGCCCACTATCTCAGAGGCTCTGGATCCATTAAGCGCCAATCAATGAAAATGAGATATCAGGTTTGGGGATCTAATGGATTCCTCTGGTGATCACGATGTGGATGCACGTCTAACGCAGCCATCATCACCCTTGTCTGCATATACGCAAGGAGAAGATTTCTAGTAAAAACCTGGAGCACATTTTTTTAACCCGTTTTCTTGACTAAAGCTTAGTTGTGTCATTCTGAGAATTCCATTATGAAAGCTCCTGACGCCTATTTCACACTATATCACAAACCTTTCATAAATGACAGTTTGTGCGTGCGTGTGTTTTTATGTGCATCGTCATTCCTTTGTTGGGGAACCATGGGTTCATTGTGTGAGGCAGGGTGTAAAAGGCAGGTCCCCGGGAGGTCAAGTCAACTACACACTCGATTACTGACAGCACTTGTAGTTTCTGTCACTCAGCGGGTCAACCTCACAGCTGCGGAACGCCGCACCACTACTGCATAAACACCCCGTCTCATCTTCTGCTCTTTTTCAATGGCTCAAGCTTACTGTTTCCAGCCAGGATGTCAAAGACACCCGACAAGAGCAGGCTACAAATCCCTTGTGGCATGTCGACAGTTGAAGGCAAACTACAGATTATAGATGTCAAGAAGCATGCCTGCGTGTCTTAAAGAAGATCAGGCTGAGGATTACCGCTTGCAGGCACATAGGTGAAGCGCTGGTACTGGCTCCTCTTCCTCTTGCCGTTGCAGACGTAGAAGTTGACTTGCACAGGACTCGATATTCTCTGGTTCCTGTAGGGTGGGATCTCCACAACGAGAGTATTCTAAAGTGCAAACAAAACACAGCAAGGTCACTCAAATGTACCACCTGTACACCACACTGTCACACTGTTGCACATCAATCTTTCAATTCACTGGTTTAGGAAGGCATGATAATATTTCTTGGTAATCCTAAAACTTTCTACTGTACATGTGCACCACTGCAACAGAATCAATGCAAACGTGACTCATTTTGCTGCAAAAATCCAATAATGTCTATTTTTGTTTAAAGCTAAACCATCCTAACGCTTGACTCACCTCAGGATGCTGCACCGTTGAAACTAAAAGGAAAACTAATAGTATGACTTACTTAATATTTCACCTAATACATATTTGACAACAATTTCAGTGTTATTCCACTATTCCTTAATAAATAAAAAAATATATAAAAAAAAAGAAAACATAACTGCAAAAGGAACGTTTCCTTTTGCATCAGGGTGTTTATGTGAGGACAATTCATTTGTCCTCACACAAATGAATTGTGGGAATTCTAGATTCTTGATGCTAATAAATGAGCTATTCAAAACTGGAGTAAATCAAAAATGACAAATTCTTCAAAGGCATGACAGATCTTGATGTTTACATTTCAAATTCAGTTCCACATTTAACAATATATATATATATATATATATATATATATATATATATATATATATATATATATATATATATATATATATATATTTGTGTATGTATCATATAAGCAAGACTTTATAGATGTTTAATGATGTTTTAATGTGGTCACGAAGCATGAGCTTTCAGTACTATACAGTAAACCCTTGAAGGTTTCAGAGATTAATCAACAAGTATGTTTATGTTTTATTGCTGGTCTGCATTTAGGGTAGTGTTTCCATGAGACTGGACTGGGAGCTGGTCTAAATGAGCTCGTCTGGACTGTGCAGAAGCAGTAGTTGGGCCCCTGAGGCTCGTCCAGGCCCGGTGTTTTTCTCTGAGGAAAACCCTTGGGCTTTTAGCTTTTTTTTTCCCCCCACATGGCACAGCAAAGCAAAGCAGAAATGCCGGCTTATTTGTTTGCACAGCCGCTCCATGTGCAGGAGGGGTCACCTGTAACCCCTTCAATTACCTGCTCTGCTGGACTGCAGCAGGTCTGGACGGATATGAACTTTTGACTGCTTTAATTCTGACAGGGAAACATGGAGGAATCTGTTAAGGTGTTTATGTGCAATTCCTGGGATAGTTGTCGCTCTCTTGTTCTTTTTTTACAGTCCGCAAGCAGGGCAAAAATGACAGGAAGCAGGTTTTTGTCGGTCATCACAGTGCATGCGGGGAGGGCGGGGGGTGAGGAGGGGGTAGTTGAAGGTGAGATCAAACCCAGTCTGCCTTTCCATATGATGACAGAGAAGGCATGCAGGTTGCTGATTGTGTGTGTTAGATGCGTGCATGCACACTGCGTTCCCTCTCGATCACAAACAACCAGTTAGCACGCTCTGGACAGCAATAAAAACACAGTCAGTCAGGCAGACTAGGGCACTTAAAAGTAGTCTGGTTGCAACACATATAAACAGAAGGCCTGAGCTCTCAGTTCGCCTCTCTCTTTTTGTAAAGACGATGGCATCTTGCAAAGGCTTTCATAGTCCTCTAACTTTTTAAACTTTTGGCAAATAACTATTATGGATTTTACTTGATAGGCCAACACAATTAAGCACATAATTAAGAGAATATGTACTGTTTCAGTTTTTTATTTTTGTTTATATATCATCAATACTGGATTTGTGGAATTGGTAGGAATACTTTAGTGAGGCAGTCTGCAATTAAACACATTGGTGCATGCTGTTATCAATCCCATCTTCTTCCAACATCACCTCCAGCATGTCCTTGAGCACCCACTTTTTGTCCAGCATCTGCAACTCCGGCCGACAAACACCAACCGGATTTAAGACACAATTAGCTACAGGAGTCCACATTTACCCTGCTGATGCAACCACATCATTTACCTGAGTGAAATCGCAGCAGCAAGTGAAACTAAATCCTCCAACGGCACCATTTAGAGGCAAGTGTGTTATTCTAGAGCCTTTTGCCAGTATAAACTCCCTCTGTTGGTTTGCAAAGGCAGGCGGAGGATGCAGCGCCGCAGATCAAAGGTATCAGAGGTTAAAAACATACTATCATCACGCCAGAGCAAACAAGTTTTCCACTACCCACCACTTGGCTCTGAAAGCAGACCTAACTAACCCGATGAAATCTTAATGAACTCCAGAGCACAAGAAGCTCTCTGTGACACGGAGAACAACATTTACTTCATTCCCCTCTGTTGACAATTCCCTTTTGGTGAGTTTTATATTAACACAATCTGGACGTGTGACTGTGCGTCAGTGAAAATGAGTGCGCTGGTTTATTTTCTCATTAAAGCCTTCGTGAAAAGCAGCAGGTAAAAACAGGGGTGTGATCCGCTTCTGGCTGCACGCTCACGAGCACAGATGAGGTGTTTAAGCCCAGCTCACCACAACTCTTCGCTGTGAACTAAACGTCTGGCTATGTGCAGAGGGCTGAAGCGATTTGGGTGTGTGTGTGCGTGCATTTCAGCATGTTTCTGCCCGTGTTGTTTTCAAGCAACACCACAGGTGAAAGTGTTTGTCTCCAGGACGGTACGGTGACTTTGTGAAAATTCCATTCAGGATTGCATCGACTAATCAGCTTCGCCTGCGTTTTTCAACACGTCTGTGTTTTTCAATTTGTAATGCCTTAGTGAAGGTTACATCATATTTGAGGGACAAATGAGGAGGAGACCGAAGAAAGGAGAAAGTCTCAAGGGGGAGAAAGACTGAAGAGACAGAAGGGTACTTACAGTTTTGACAGAGTCCTTGTCAACCTTGGCTTCTGTCTCCCACAGATGATGGCCGTCTGTTGACACAATAAAAACAATATGAAGACATCTTAAACTTCTAGATTGTACAATCCAATAGACAATAACTAGTGGATGGCAGACCCTAACCCTACTCCCTAACCTCTGACCCTTCCCTAAATGTGCAGAAGATTGTTCCACAAGAAAATAGTTTTCTTGGACATAAGAAGTTTTAGCTTGTGCCTTAAGATGTGAATTTGCCTCTAGTCTTAATCCTAGAGGCAAAGGATTAAGACAAGAAGTAGAAAAGAAGGACTTTGCTCTCCTATGACTATTATATTTTGTTGGGTTTATCCAGTTATGGATAAGTTTAAGCCAAAATCAACAAAGTTGCAAATCAGTCAAGGAATCTTAAATCATAGGGAGAGTTGTTTCACCATCCATCCATCCATCCATACATACTTGCATCCAGATAAGTCTCCAGAAGTAAGATCTCATCCATTCATTCATTCATCCTGACAATGACAGTTTATGCTTGACCCAGAGATCTGTCTCCACGGCAGCATTCTCCAGCTTGTCTTGACCATCCCAAGACACTCCCAGTGAGGATAGCTCACCCCTTGTTGGCAAGTAATGCGCACCAGATCTGTCTTCAGGAATATAACCTGGCCTACATAATCCTGACAAAGTTTGCCATTTTCTGTAGTTGTCAAATCCTTGAAGTTTTCACTGCTTCTTGCCTGACCCCTCTACATTCTATTTGAGACCCTATTAGATCCAAAAGCCGCAGACATAGGAAGTGCTTAAGAATACAAACTGACACCATGTTGAGGTGTCAACTCTGTTGGGTGTGAGACAACCAGAACTGGCTTCTATTAAGTAAGAAATGAAACCAACAATAACTTGCTTCTGCAAGTCTGTGTCCCTAATGCATGCTCTCATATTTGGTGTTTCGTGTCAGTTTAGATCATGACAGTTTCTGTTTGCTGTTTTACTTTCCTGCAAAAAGCCAGAAGTCTTTTCTCCCTCCCCTCATTCCCACCCTGTTGATGTAAAGAGGTTTCCCTCACTGCTTTGAACTAAAATGTCCTTATGAGCTACTGCAGCTGCTGCTGGCCTGTAAAGGCTCTGCTCACATTCTTTAGTTTTCCTTGTGATTTCATGCCTCGCATTGTGCGAGCAGACATTCTGGGATCTGCTGGGGCAATCAGCGACAGTCCGCGGTGCAATTTCTTTTTTTATGTCCAGAACCCATGAGTCATCTGTCAAGAAGTGGCAGTGACACAGTCCGGCCTTTGTGTCAGTGACACACCATGTGAGGTAACAGCGTGGTTACTGCAGCGCGTCTGCTATGTGTTAGCGACAGAATGAACAGAGCCATGGTAGGAAATGCTGCACTTCGCATTAGGATCATAAAGACAGGAGGATCAGTGTCATTTTCCAAAGTACTGCAATCAAAGATACAGCAGATCCAACATCATCTAAAAAAAGGCGATTCTTTTTAAGTGGACTATGTTTTTCACATTAAACCATGAGTGTAAAAGCAAATGGACTGCAGTCAAACTTGGACCGTTATTGTTGAGATGTGGTAGTGGGGGACGGGTGGTCAGCTTTATTGTTCTGAGAGAGAAAATCAATTGATTGTTCCAAAACGGCCATATTAAACACGGCAGACGACAAAAACAGATGGTGCACAGATTAGATAAGAACTTCCTATTGCGGAACTTGGTGAAACTAGATCTGCATATGGAAAAGTGTGCCTCACTCTGATGAAGACGACAGGAAATAGCCACGGGGTATTGCCTGTCGGACAACTGTGTGGTGAACGAAAGACACGGCGCATGTGGCAGGTGAAAGAGAGGCACACATATATAATGTTGAGAAGCTGAAATGAGCAGAGCAGGGCAATTAGAAAGAGCACAGACACAGGGAAGGTCATAACAAGGGAGAGAGGCAGATAGAGATGAGCATTCCTCATGTTACGTCTAGAGGAACCAAGAGGGAATCTCGGCCGCCTACGCTCTGGGAGACTCTCCAAGAGGGAAACCTTAGACTACAACGTCAACGCGAAGCTCCAGTCGTAAACATGTTTTTCAAACTCTTCATCTCTCTACCTCCCTGTTCATATCTCAAATCCCCTCCGCCCCCGCATCTCCATTTGTACCTCAACGTCACTTCGCCCGAGCAACAGTTGTTCAATGCTTTCTCGATCAAACCTGGAGCATCAGAAATGCTGTGGTCGGACGGTCGGAGCGCGGCGTACGACCGATAACCACAGGTCTTTCCATTCGCTCCTTCTTCCCTTCAACATCTGCGAAATGCTTCTGTTCCCGACAACACCTCCTCCTGCAACCAACCTCCACCCACGCGCAGTGTGCACAAACAGATGCAGACACATGCAAATGTGCAACCACGATATCCTTCACCTTTGTTCTGGCTTTCAACTGAGATTACAGGAGGTGGCGAAGCACGAAACAATGGGGCGCCGAATGCAGAACGGTAGCTTTGTCCAGCTTTGTCCCGGACCCATTTTAGAAGACAAATAAATGGACACACACACTCGTATTTTGAGGTTTGACACTTGAAAGGTAAGTTTTCTTATAAGTGATTTTGTTGGGTAAAGTAGGTCCACAAAGACTAAAACCAGGCATCTTTGACGACATTCTTCAAGCAATTAGACCTTCTAGGGCGGTGAGGCGTCTTTGACTCATCAGCTTCATCTCCTCACAACTCCTCACCCAGGATGTGAGCCTGGTGACAACCTGGCAACGCTGGTTGTTACAGCAACGCTCACTCAAACAAAATCTCATTTGTCCTGTTTTCTTTGATTAGCCTGGAAAACGATCAAGAGGTGGGCGGGTTCTCCATCTGGTCGAAATGAATAAAAGATCATTATATTGCAGATAAATATTTCAGACACACGCTCTGACTCACTGCTTCAGCGGTCCCGACAGCTGACTGGTGATATATTTAACCTCACACTGAACTTACAGTTTTCGACAGCCAGAGGTAAAATTGCTTTCTAAAAAGCACAGTTTTTGTTCGTGGCAGTCTTCAGCGACCAAAAAGAGTTCAGTTCAGGATATTTTGAGGATGGAAAATATGATTCACATGCCTAATTAGGGAGGTTTTCTCGTGAAACAACCCAGATGTATTTTGCAGCCATATCCCCCCCCTTTCTTTTTTTTTCTTTCTTTTTTTCCAGATTGGATTTTAAGAAGTATTTCCCGCCCCCTTTCCTGTTTACATATCTTGAGTTTATTTTCCATTTTATTACCTTTCTACTGCTGCTGCCGCGCCTCCTGCTCCTGCCTTGAATTAAAATGCTTCAGTAATTTTACACACACGATCACTGCAAACACCTTGCTACCCATGGAGGAGCGAAACCAGGAGGCTGGAGGGATTCCCTGGTGACTGATTCCAGAGATACAGCTGCGATCTCCTCCTAAGCACCTGGCTTCTACCAGTCTGAAAAACTGGAGCAGTTGGATAAATAAGGGTCTGTTTTGGATCCAGAGGTATCTGTATAAATTAATTCCTGACAGTGGATTTATGATGGGTTTAGAGTCAGGACGTCAGTTGTTGTAAAGTGTTTAACGAGAAAGCTGTGAGGTGACTTGACCTTAGACCATAAAGGCTGAAAGACGGGGCTCAGTCTGGTTTATCTGGGTAGAATTGGACACAAAAATCATAAGACGCTTCGTATTGGCTAGCACTCACAATATGAGTGGAGAATATTTTCAGCTTGAAAGTGGTTTCCATTAGCCACAGATTGGCGCAAATTGAAATTATGAAAAATAAATTAGCTTGATGGAAACAGGATACTTTTGAAAAAACGTTTTTTTTTTTTTTAAAAAATTTTTGCTCTAGGATTAGGTGGTTTTTCAGCTGAATAGAAATACGTGTATTTCATAAATTGAGCCATGTGATCAAGAACTCCAGACATTACTGCTGGCAGAAATGACAAAGAAGGCATTAGGAAGTATTAGGAGGATGATGTTTTTTTTTTTATGTGCTTGGGAAAGTGGCTCCACAACTGTGTCATTTAAACATGTTGATTCCATAGCTCTTATGCAAAATTGCAGACTACAATTCTCCCAAAACTCTGCAAACATAGCCGTTCCCAAGAACAAACAGCTAATCCAGAAGCACCAGCAAGAGCTAATTGGCTGTAGTCTGGAGATCAATAAAACTGTAGATGCTAGCTTCAGGATTGGCACTAAAACAGTTTCCACTCAGCGTACTCATGCATATTATGGTATATTTGGTGTTTGAACTATTAGATATAATCTTTTTTTAAGGAGTGGGAATATATCCAGAATCTAGCTATTCTTTAGCCTGTCAAAAACCAGCCCCTGTTCAAAGTTACTTGCTTTGTACAGAGGGTTTGCACTTTTGGCTATTGAGAAGCTGTTGCTGCTAAAGTTTTAAATTTTACCCGATCGGTGACATTTGCAACCGTGATATATGTACTGTGCTAGTTCGACACTATGAAGTCACCAGAAATCATCTGGGCTGCAAAGAACCATCCTGCGAAGAGAGCAGCACCTGATGGTTATTATTAGTAGGCCTTGAGAATGGCGTTATGACTGGCAGCCACATTGGTTTTGATACATAAAAAAAAGAAAAACTCAAGGTTTGCTGCTGTAAAATCTGCCATAAAAACGCATTGATGTTTCTTCACTTTAATTGAAAAAGTATTTTTAAAAGTCTGGCTTCTCATTCATGTGAAGCCACTATTACTTAGCAAGGTGGTTGCCCATGGCAACATTAGTCCAAGACCCACCACCATGTAGAGATGCACCCCACACAGCAGTGTTTACCAAGCATTACTCCAGAATTAGCATCGTAAATCATGCCCTGGTCAGTGCAGTCAGATGACGATGCCAAAGCCGAGTTTAGACACACCAGATGTACAACACCTCAACCAGCTTGTCTGGTGTTTAGACTTGCCCCGTGGTAGCTCTCTGAGTCGAATGTAAACAGCCTTTACATGAACTCTGAAAAGTTCTTCCAGCAGAAAATCACGATAACTGAATAATATTACAAAGATTACTGCTGTGCTAACGCTACATAGCAAACAGCCTGAAGGAGTCACGGAGGGGGACAGTCTTCACTCTGCTGTAGAACCAGGCCGTGTGGCGCTGCAGAGCTGCAGGCAACACTCCAATCCAACAGATTTAAAAACTATCCGGCTCACCAGGGAATTCCCTCCCCTCCCCTCTGAGTCAGAGAGCAGGCTTTCCCCGTCTCTCTCTTTCTCTCTCACTCCCTCTCCCTCGCTCTGTTTATATGTCTGTCTCTATTTTCCCTGCCTCTAGCGCTCATTCCAGCTGTGGAAAGCAGGGCAGGCCAGAACACACACAGCAGTAGGTGTGCCAGGTATGTCTTCCTTCACCTGTGCCAGGAGGGCGGTTTGGACAAAGCTGGCACAAAACAAATAGCAGCAACCGCCGCGAAAGCCGAATCCAGCTCCACACAGCACACGCTGATGGAAAGTTTAATAAATGCGCGAGCTGTGGCTCTGCAGAAGAATTTCTTTTTCATTCCATTAAAGGGGAAAGTGAGTGAGTGAGTGAGGGAGGGAGGGGGAGACGTCTTGATGAAAAAGCGACGACGTCTTTGTTTCTGCTCCTTTAAGAGCGATCCCTGTTTCAAGTCTGGACTTCTTTAGTTTGCGGTGATCTGCCTGTTATATTCATCTTATCTCAGTTTTAAGCGTCGTCAAAAAAATGAGTGTGAATAAGTTTGACGGGAAAACTCAAAATTCGCAGCAGGATATAAGGCTCTTTCCTCACACACCTGGAAACAAACGGGCAGCCTTTCTAAAGAGGCCCTGCCTTTTTCTACCTTCTTTCCTTCCTTATTCTTTCTTTCAAAGAGCTCGGGATCCGCTTCTCCCCTCTGCAGGGAATCCTTCGGTGGATGACTCACTGACAACACTTCCTCCTGAACATCACAAACAGGCCCGCGGGCTAGCAGCTAGAGTGTGTGCAGGCGTACACACCGGCATCAGCAAAACAGATGCACATCCAGCAGAATCGGAGAGTTTGCATCAGTTATCCTGTGGGTGACGGAGGGAGAGGGGTTGGGGGAACGACGAGGACGAATGGGACGCTTAGAGAGAAAGTGATTATTTTTCAAGCCACATTGAAGGTTTTCCTGCAGCAGCAGTGGGAATAACTCAGTTCATTTGATACCGGGGGGATCTCACGAGGTTTGGAGGAGGACAGACAATAAAACCAAAAACAAAGAAGGAAGGGATGCTGTATCACCATGAATGGCTAATAAAGTTTTGATATTCCTTCATGTCACAATGTCTTACCAAACAATTTATGAAGCAAAAATAAATAAATAATTGAAAAGTGTGGAGTGCATTTGAACAGACCCCACTTGAGCAAACAGTATTTTCGCCTTTTGGGATATGCCTCTAATTAGTTCCCCCGTCCCCAGGATTCAACTGTGACCTTTGAGCAGTTTCACCACTATACAATAACCACTATATGATATTGGCACCACTTTGTTGCACGAAAGGGGTAACTGGTTACAGGAACTGGTGAAACTACGGGACACCTGATGGCAATTTGTTGCACTGGATTCTCTTCAGGTCGGCGTTTCACAATAAATAGAGATGAATCCAAATGCACACCACACTTTTAGGATTTTTTTTTGTAAAATCTAAAATAAATAAATGAACATAACATTCAATCAACAACAAAAATATCCTGGAGGTACAAGCAGCAGAAAAATAGGTGAAGAAGGTTGGGTATGTGATAAACTAAATTTGGTAGCAATTAGTTACTACTTACTTTTACTCAGTTACATTTACTGAAAAAAAAATTTCAGAATAATTTTACTATGCTGTAACTTTTTTTTACCTTTATGATGAAGTATTGCTTCTCTTCAGTGTCATTTCTGGATACTGAGTAACTTCAGTGAATGAAGAACAATCTTATTTTAACCAAAACTTCACCAGACACTGACACATTTTCTATTAAAGTTTCAAAAGCTTTTATATTGAACACAATTAATTTGGAAAACTTTTATTTTATTTGCCTGGTTTTGTTGTTTCTCAACAAAATCTGTAAATAATTTCAGTAAACAACGTTTTGAGAAATTCTTCCTGTTGATAGAAAGCCAGTTGTGTAATTATTCTCAAAAGACTCGTGTATATTTCAGACTGTTTTTTTCCTTCAACCACTAATTGTTAATGGGACAATTTCGTAAATGTTTCTGGTATTTTTAGAAAATCGGAGCATTTAAACAAAAATAAAATAAAAAAATAAAAAAATGAAAGCATTTATGATTCATAGATGGCCCATTAGCACTAACGAGCTTTTGAGCTGCCTGTGATCTTGCTCTGACTCAACTCAGATGACTTTAACTGCGAAGGATTATTCGCGCACGTTGGACCAGGACTCTCCCAAAAATCCGTCTGCTGCTTCGTAGGATCTGTGGAACATTCTGAAAGGTGTTTATTGGAGTCAATTTTGGAAAGTGAGCAGCCATTCTGACCTTCGATGGCAGCAGCAGTAAATGGCTGTCACCACTGTGGCAAAAACAGTGATTGGTTTCTGTGCCTTCCAAGGGGTTTGGCCGCGCTCGATTGCGTGTGTCTCTTTCTGTGTAATGGTAACTGTCTGAGAGAAATAATCGCTGTGGTGCGACGCTTTCAAGGGCTCATTTAGTCATGAACTTTTCCAGGAGAAAATAAAACCAAAAGTTACAGAGAGAAATGTGTAAACCAAGTCGATGGTGTTCTTTAAATCATTTTGATGGCGCTTCTCTGACGCAGAATGAAGAAAATCTTACTGTGAAAACTTAAAAATAGGATTTTTTTTCTTTAGGTAAAATGCCAAAATGGTGGAAAAAATTTAAGCCAAAAATCTACGTTTACTGAAGTGTTTGCGTGTGTGTGCATAAGTCTCTAATGGGCTTTTTAACTCAGAGCTGTAGGTCATAAAAGTTGACATAAAATGCGGCCTCAGTAGCAAACCGATAACCTTTCTTCTGATCTCTCTAGTCAACGCCAAGTCCAAAAACAAAACCACTGAACTGTCAACAGCAGACCAAAGCTTGGGGATCCCAGCGGAGACCAACTCCACACCGGCTAATGTGTTTAGCAGGTATCGAGGATAGAGGTAAGAAAAACTGAATATTGAGGAGGGAAAACAGAAGAACAGAAGGAAATGGGGCAGAAGTAAGAAGAGTGGGTGAAAGACAGGAAACAGAACCACAGAAGGGGGTCACAGGGCTCAGACAGCAGGGCATGTATGAAGAGTTTCCTCTCTAGGGACCCCCCATCCCTCCTTCCCACCCACTCCATGACTGAGTCAATCCAGGAAGAAGGAGACCCCACATTACCAACATCCAACCCCTTCCTCTCAACACATCACAACTTCCTTATTTTAACCCCAGATTCTCCAGAGTCGACCTTTCAAGCAGGAAAAAGCTACAAGAATCTTCAAATAACCAAGTTTTGCAAACTGTTTTCTATATGTAAAATCACTCTGAAGTGCTGAAATAACTTTACATATCAATTATATGTGTTTTATATACAAAATAAAGTATTATGTTGTATTTTTCTGAAGAGAGATGGTGTTGTGCTGCTGCTGCATGTTTGACACAAGTTGAAAAAGGTGTGTGTGTGTGTGTGTGTGTGTGTGTGTGTGTGTGTGTGTGTGTGGGTGGTGTGTGTGTGTGTGTGTGTGTGTGTGTGTGTGTGTGTGTGTGCGGGTCCGGAGGTGCAGCTAGCTAAGCGTCATCTGAGGTGTGTGCAGACACCTTTCTGCCCTACCCCCAAAAGCACAAATGGCTGTTAAAAACAGAAAATGACAACTGGAATAAATTTTCTGCCATCGCTGTGGCGCCCATTCTAGCATGGCGCCCAATATAGTTCATGCCCACTTTTTGTGCCACAGTTTAAAACAGTGAGTAAAACAAAAAAGTGTGCAATAGTCCATACTTTTGAGTTAATTGTCTTTTCTTTGTGTGTCTGTTTTTCCCAAAGAGAAAATGGTAAAAATCTTTCAAGTTTAATTTGATTTTCTTTTTGGGCACAATCAAAGCATTGTTCATGATCATCAGTCAGTCATACACAAACTTCGTTTCTAATCGTTCCCTCCACCCACAACGTTGAGGGGAAAAAAAAAAAAGAAAAAGAAAAAGCAGAAACAAAAAGGAGCAGGCGCTCTTTGCCAGACCCTCACCCCGGTTGCTCTTCGCCACAGCTGGCAGAGTGAGAGGAAGGGTTAACTGTCAGGAGCCGGGGCAGTAAGTGAAGACAGAACAGCACGGCAAAAAGGAAAAGTGAGAAAAAGAGATATTGCACATGCCCTGGTCGTGATTCATTCCTCTACTTGTGGCGAGGACCAAAGAACAGGCAATGGAAACTTCAGCAAATGTAAATACGCTTTGGTTAAAAATATAGTGGCCTAATGCGCACCACATGTTGCTTTCTGGCAAGTCCTGCTCTATTTTGACGGGAAGAAAGACTTGAAAAAACACAACTGAGAAGGAGAAGGGCAGAGGCATTTGAAAGAGATATTAGGGGGAGGAGTGAAATTAAAATGCAGGGAACACACAGTCTGGGGAAGGTTCTCGTCCAGTCTTACCCTGTGCCTTCTCCACGAACACCACCTTGGACTCGGGGAGGAAGTTGAGGCCGCCGAGGAGCATCATTTTGCCGCCGGTGGCGGGATAGCTCTCCACACTCTGCTTCTCCACCAAGGGAAGCTCCTGAGCTGAGCGCTGAGCTACAGAGACACACACACACACACGCACATACAGACACACACACACACACCTTTCAGGACTGCGTTCAAGTCCACGTGAACACATTTATAGATCACAATCAACTCTGAGAAGAGCATGACCAGGACACGGCCTGTAAAACAGCAGCTTTTCATTAAGAAAACCGACTTATCAAATTTATTACGATGATTTCATGACCTCTTGCGAAGAGGTTTTCAGCCAAATGCTGCTTTTTTTTTTCTTTCTTTTTTTCATAAGGCATAGAATAATTCAGAAGAATACGTTCACGGTCAGATCTTCGCTTCATTATTTCCATCCAGCAGCCCGTGGCCAACCACCTGTCTCTGCTTTCACTGAAATGAGGCGAGCCGCGGGGACCTCTGACCTCTGGAATACACCGACGGGAATCACAGCCAGCCGATTGAACCGAGTGCTAATTATCACGTAGATGTGGGTTTCGCTTAGGAATTTACTTTTTCCAATGATCTTAAGGCCCCAACCCTCAAACTGCTCAGGGATGAGATTTTGTAACGTCAGCGGCGTCTGTCGGCGTCTTGCTTCGATTAGTTTCTCGGGTGCCGATCGCATCACACGTACGCACAGGAGAGAATGACGAAGAAACAGAAGTTCCTCACAATGAAATTATTCAACCGCGCCACAACTGAGACTGGCAGGTGACTTATGAGGTATCTTCGCTAATTGGGAGCTTTTACCACAACGACTTAGGTATTCATAAAATGTTAATTTGATAAAGATAACATGTGTTTGGCATGATGAACAATGCTCCTCAGTAAATTTCTTTCATTGTATAAAACTTTTTGGGTCCAGAGGTGCTGAATTTGTTCCAGTAGGAAATAAAATAATGGCTTGTTTTATTGCATTGTAACAATAGATCCCACTTTTTTCTTAAGTGGAAAGCTATTGGTAGAGATTTCTTTGTTTGTTTCTGTTTATGCGTGCGTGTGTGTTAATGTCTCAGACTTACAGCATTCAATGGGGTTTGAGGCGACTTGTAGGGACACCGTCCTGCCGTTGGGCTGGTTGATGTGCACACGGAACACCAAACGCACGCGGGTGTTTTTCCGACCGATGTCCGTCTCCCCTTTGCGCAGTTCGATGTCGGAATTGCGCAGCTTCAGGATTCCTGCGCAGTCAATTCTAGAGGAGAGGGAAGAGGACGGAAAGCAAATCTGAGTATCAATTTATGTGCTTTGCTGTAGGTATGGAAGCTTGAGGTTCACTAGTTTTTATTTTTCTTCTCTTCGGGCTCTTATGGATGCATAATTTTGCATTTTTTAAATGATTTTACCGTGTTATGTCAACAAACCTCAGTGTGTTTTACAGGCATTTTATTTGACTGGCCAACTCAAAGTAGGACATAGAATAAAATAAAGCGACAAATGGTTTCCACGTTTTCACAAATAAAAATCTGAGAAGTGACACCTCAATTTGCACTTTGCTATCCTAAGCCAAAACTTTATTGAACTATTACAAAGTTTCACCTTTGTGGAGACTCAAATATTGGTTGTTCTTATTTTCAAAGGTCACAGAAATTGGACATTTTACATCAGTTTTCAAGTCTTGCCACAGACAAGACTGATTGGATAAACGTCTGGACTTTAACTGGGCCACTTCAAATCATAAAGTGCTTCGATGTAAACCATCCCATCGTAGTTCCGGCTTCAGGGTTTGTGTTGTGTTTCACTCAATCCCTCTTTCCATCAACTTTAAGCGTAGCTGCTGAACCCCGTGGAATGATGCTGCCACCGCCATGTTTCACAGTGAACAATGGCGTTGTACAGTGTTAGCTTTCCACCGCACTTAGCATTTTCTACATCTGGCCAACATACCCTAAAAACTTGTTCTTTTCTTTTCATTTTTGGTCTGCGATGGAATATCCCAATAAAACACACACAAGTTAATGCCTCTAATGTGACACAATGTGGAAAACGTACAGAGGGTGTGCCAAATTTTGAAGAGAAACTCTACGCAGCAGTTGAAATGTAATAAAATTGTTCATTTAGAGCAATTTTCATACTATAAGGTAATTTTGGCGGTAGTGTTTCAGTATATTTCAATGGTTTATCTAATGTTCTAAGCATTGATAGGGAGATTATCATCAGAAGCCAGCATAACTTTTGTCCTTTCAGGCCATCAAATTCATTCATTCTGCATATAAACTGTTGTTAATCATTTCCACATGCAGCAGCAGACCATTCCCTCAGCTGTCTATATTTATTTCATTTCACAATTTGGGAGGTAAAGGGCTAAAGTTTCTCCCCTTCTTTTTGGAAGGGGAAAAAGAAAAGTTTTCTTGCTGGCATTTATAAATTGAAATATAACTTATCCGGCTGGTAAAAAGGAAGGGAAAACAAATGGGATATGCTCTGGCATTTTACTTGTGTTAAGTGGTAGATTTTCGGGCAGTACTCCTGGAACATGGCAAATGTCAGGGTTTGCACCACTTTTTTTTTCCGTGCTTTTGGTTTGCACAACACGAACAGGGAAAAAAAAACCTGAAATGAGCAGTCTAGACAACCACTACTTATCAGATTTACACAATCTGGTGCTCGTTACCATATAACATCAGCCCCAGTGTTAAAATCAAGTGTCTTTTCCTTCGCTTATAGAAACTAATGAGAAAATTGCATCTTAACTAATCAAACAGAAATTACAAGAAAGCTTCAAAGCAACTACAAATTCTCACAAAAAAAGCCCCCAAAATAGTCAGACGATTTCTCCGGGTTTTGGGATTAAGTTGAAGCTGCCTCGGTCCGGTCAGCTTTTGTGCACCAAAAGACTTTTTTGGGTTTTTTTTCCCTAAGAGGAAAGGAGGAAAACCGAAGCTGTCTGAAATTGGTGCTCGCTACCTTCTCCATCCCACACAACAAGCAAATTATCGCCGGCAGATAGAAAAAAAAAATTGAAAAAAAAAAAAAAAAGCTGTCTGATCGAGGTGGCTGGTAAACATCTCAGTGGAAAAAGGCAGTTAAAGGCCTTTCTTTATGTCTGTCGGAGGAAAGCAGAGGAAACTTTCACTCCTCTGCTTTCGGCCTCAGTGTGAACGTCAAAGAGGAAAAGAAACTTCCTCTTCAGAAGCCCCCTTTTTTTTCTTTTTTTTTTTTTTTGTTCTTACTTTATTGTTAATCAAACCAGAGGAGACACATTAACTCAAACAAATAAGCAGTGCACGGAAGTGTGTGAGTTTAAGAAGGATATTGTGGTTCTGTTGGACACGACATGTGGAACTAATACCAGAAAATGCTTTAAGCATTAAACTACCTGTCCTCATTTTTTCCAACATGATTTTAGAAGACATAAAAAATAAATAAAATAACACACAATATGTAAGTGGCAAAGTACAAAAATAATGCTGAGTGGAGTAATGACCTTATTTAACGTCCGATCCAGTGGGTTATCCCTACCACAGGGTTCTGGGAACAAGTCCAAAAAATATTCCCTGCTGCCTTGTCTGAAAGGAGCCTCTGGAAAAGAGCTGCTTCCTGGACACAGCGTCGAGTTCTGCTTCGACTTCCTCCCACGTCCAAAAACGTGGACGTCTGACTCTAGGCTGTCCACAGAGGAGTGTCTGTCTCCAACAGGTTCTAACGTTCAGAAGGCCATTTTCACCAACACTTCAAGGTGAAAGTGGTAAGCAGTATCTCTATTTCTCTTCTTTTGGTTTGATTTTGAGCAAAGACCCTGTGAAATCAGTTGATGAGTCAAATCAGTTCACTTCACTCTTGATCCGTCCTGATCGGAAACTAACAACAAGAGTATCAGTGCAGTCAGTGGACGAAAATAAAAGATTTCAGAAGCACAGTGGTTTTCTTTATGACTGGAAACCTCTGAGTTGTTAGTGAATCACATATCATAAGCAGAAAGCTGAACGCATAATAATAAAGTGTGTTGTTTTTTCACAGTTCTGATAAATCACACCAGAAAATGCATATGGAGACTGGTGTCTATAACCAAGCTAATTTTCAGATCCATAACCTTGTGAGGAGCTTAAAGCATTAACCTTGTAATCAATGTGTGGTGTAAGATATATAAAATACAGTTAAACTGCAGAGTTGTGTAATTCTGACTGCTCTCTCTCACACGTAATAAAACTTTAGCTCTGCTTCATATTTGAATAATTAATGGGTACTACTAAAAGTTTCCCATAGGCTTCTGTAGAGTCAGAATAAACGAATGATTTAACAATAATGTAACTGATTTGACATAATGGCAAATCAGAGGTTTTTGCTCTCAAATATTAAGTTTTGACTGCTGTTTCATAAACAGGCGGATTTTACTATGTTGTAGATTTTAGGTTATGAGGATTTGCTTCACAACTTTCAACTGCTTTAGAGAACTGCTGATTTTATTGTGCTGTGAATATTCCATCTTTTTCAATGTTGTGAGAGAGTACATAAAAAAATAAGTAAATAAATGCGAGTTAGCTGAAATCTCATATTAGTTCTATAAAGTGGGTAAATGGAACCTGGCGTGGATATGTGTGCGTCAGAACTCAACAACACGTTTCTTCAGCTTTTTCTGAAACATCTTAAATATACCATTTTTGCAGCTGAATTTGCTCTCCCAGAAAATTCCACCAAATGTGAAAAAAAGAAGCCCAAGGCAATGAAAGTTGTCATGTACAGCCCACTTTATGATCTTTATGGTCATTGGCAATATTTGTGAATGTTTGATTTGTTTGACCAGAAGATGGTTTGATGTGGCAGCTACTGAGCAACTGTCATTTTATAACTGACTTTGATATCACTTAAAAAAACATTCAGATTATAAGTCTGTATGTGAGGATTTATCCAGTGAAATATATATTCACATAAATTCTTAACACTGTAGTGGTTTTGACAGGAATCGCATGTTAAATGGGCAGTATTTTTTTCCCAAAACACTTGTTACTTTGGTAAGAATGTTTTGGCACATTTATCTTGCTGTCATATATTAACACACTAGCTGACATTAATGTAGTTGAAGCACTTCATACGGGTGGAATGGTGACTGTATGTTGACCTTTGCAGTCCCTGCTTATACATGTCGGGCAGAGTTAGTCAACCGCGAACTGTCGGCCTTAAAAACAGCGCACCTCAAGGGGTTGAAAGGACAGAGGCCTATTTAGAAATATGTGCCGTAATGATAACGCGTTGTGTTTGCATGGCTAAGCCATAAAAGATGGCGCCAAAAGGCGAAGAAGAAAACTAAGCAAAACATTGAGTTTTAACGTAAGGACAACTTCAAAAAGAAATATGAAGAAAAGGTTGGTTAGCAACAGAGCGTCTCAAAGCACTCACATGGCTCTCATGTTGTTTTCTGGCAGCAGAGGGATCTCCAGGATCTTGGTGTTGGATTGCATGACTTCGTGGCTGGCAGTGGAGACGGTTTTGCCGGTGATCCGGTGGACCTGGTAGAAGGCGTGCGGTCGCAGGAGGCGGTCGTCTGCGGTCCCGATGAAAAGCTGCAGGGTGAGCGGCTCGCTTTCCATGTAGCCGTACAGCTGGCGGGAGAACAAAGAAGCCGAGGTGAGAGGAAAACGCCAGCTGTCACGACGGTCGCCTGAGGCGTATTCAAAGATGATGCAAACATCGCTGATGGACTCCAATGAACACCCTTTTCAATAATTCACATCTTTTGAACAAATCTTTGCCTCTGAAACAAATGGGGATTACGTTTTATTTATTTCTGATTCTCTGCAAAATCAGAGTCTACACATATGGACACATGTGAACAGCCTAAAGAGTTCCCCATCACTTCACTCCAAAAACCAAAAATAAAATCTTATAATGCTTTAAATGCTTCAAAGTGATGAAAAAAAACAAAAAAAAAACAAAGAAGGAAGCAGCCAACTCAGGTAAAGGTCATCTTCAGACGCAGGTGTACCCTAATGTGTGACGCTCCTGTTTCATTTAGTTTTTAACAACTCTTGACAAATTTAGAAGCAATTCTCCATTACACCCATTGGTTGAATCAAAACAATGCAACAGTATTTTGGATGCTGACAAATCATTCTTTAATCTTAGGAAAAACAACTTTGATAGAAACGTTGATTAAAACCTGCAACTAAGTTTGGACACAATAAAACTAAATCTGGACACACACACACACACACACACACACACACACACACACACACACACACACACACACACACACACACACACACACACACACACCCCCACACACACACACAACCCTGATGGTTTATTTTACAACCCAGATTCAATTTTGAACTGAACAACCAGACCTTTACCTGAGTTGGCTGCTTCCTTCATTGAAACTCTTCCAATGGAAAATAAAAGAAATAAGATGAGCTAAATATCACTACAGCATCATTGAAAACTTTAGTACAAAGATTTGGTTTATCATCTACTCATAGTTTGTTAGATTGTGCTAACAAACTATGTGTTATGGTGGACAATGAAGGACAACGAAGCAATCTGTCTGAGTGGTAGTTAGCACTAAAGCTAACAAGTATTTCTAACAGTAGTTAGTAGCAGTAATACTAAATGCTGCCTGAGTAGCTAATGTTTGCTAATGATTTGTTATATAGAGGCTAACAAGCTATATTCAAACCAAAGCTGGATCGCTTTTAACGTAGCACATTTTTCAAGTGAGGAAGGTGGCACTTAAACAACCCCTCGATGCACTACAACAATTCCTCGGCCCCTTTTGCCCTCGGGCAGTTATGAACTTGCATTATGATTTCCATTAAAGCTCAGAGACTGTGTCCCACTGTGATGAAAGAGACCTGTGCATCGGTATCACCACTTCAAACGACGACCGCTTCCTCTCGGTCGCCTCCATTTAGCTGCTACTGCTCAACTAATAAAAAGATCAAATATTTGTGAAAAGGTAGAGAGAACCTGCTCGGCCACGCGCCGATTGAAAATCCTTGTTAATGTCGGGGGTCCAGGGGTGAAAAACTTTTTTTTTCTTCACCATCTAGCAAATGTCAACGTAGTAAAACTGACAATTTAGTGTGACGACGATGTTTTAAAATAGAAATAGCGTTTCAAATTCTTTGGGGGTGGTTCAAAAACAAATAAAGTTTGTGAGTGATTTTTGACCGAGACAATTTACTAACCACATAATTTGGTGAAACTGGGGGTAAATGCCATAGACCTCCCAGCATTCACATTTTCACTGCAGTGCAATGTTCCCAGATGGTTAGAAGAGTGAAAGTTTTGTGTAGTTAGAGATCTCTCCCGCCTCAGAAGGGCAGCGAAGCTGTACAATCCAACAGGTATACAGTAGACCCAAAAACTACTGGGTCTACTGTAATACCCTGTCAACGTGGGAGCCCCCACGGATCCACCCGGGTAGCACTCTCAGCCGCTTGAAAATCTGCTGCGGGAGATCGACTACTCGAGACCGCGGCTTGCAAAAGCCGGGACGCTGACAGAATCCCACAAATTGGTCAATTACCAAGGCACACACCAGCGCTGCCACAGACAAATTTTCTCTGAGCTCCGTCCGAGTGAAAACAGCAGTAACGTCAAATGGAATAAAAAGACCCCAGTTGTTTATCTACTGGAATGACTCATAGAGCAAAATGCAGGCCACATGTAACCTATGACATAATCTGATTAATTGGTTTATAATTACCTTCTAACAGGGCAGCCAGACCAGTGGTTGTGAGGAAGAGTGATACGACTGGAGGGCTGTCGTATTTAGGTCTTTGAAAAATTAGGGCTACAATTCCCTGGACCTGTAATGCTTCTGGTTCAGAAAGAAATTTGTCTGAGAAGGGAAACTTACTCTGACGCTAAGAATAAATGTGCGCTGTCTAAAGTTAATGAGATAGCTTTTGGACAAACGGCAAGTTTGAGTCTGTACCTCTGTCTCTTACCAAGTTTCCGAATTAATCACCTTTAACAAAAATAGGGTATGAGCAGCCATTCGAGTCAAGTATATATCCATATGTGTCTGTGATCTAAGCACCAGTTCTTATCTGGCTTTTCTCTATGATTCACCTATCAAGGAATCATATAGCAAACAGTAAAGCTGTAGCTGTCAATCATCTCCGCTTCCAGCTTTTACTTCTCCAGTGTCAGTAGTGTCTCTAGCAGCTGTGTCGACCTGTGAGCTCGTCACACATGCTAGTCATCAGTGAGTTAGGCCGAGGTCAGGAGCTTCTTGAAGTCTTGGCATCCCAAGGGACCACTTCATCTGCGTGGTGATCTCACCGACAGGCCCTGCTCGCCTTGTTATATTTTACTTATAGTGTCACTGGCAGCAATTATGAATTCGCACACATGCTACCAGTTACCGCCGCGTTGACTCGCGTGGGGGCCGTGTCGACGCGCGAGATGCAAATCTGAAACGCGGCAGAGTTGAATGGCGTGACGTTGTGTTTTGGATTAATCAGACACGGTGCAGCTGGCCTGCAAATCCGTGCCGTCTGACACTTTTTTTATGTGTGGATTTTTTTCTTCGGGGTTTCTCAGTGACCTTCAGCCGTTAGCTTAGCCACCACGTGGCTGTAGGGTGGCGCAAAAGAGAGGCAAGACGGAAGGAGCAGTTTTGGCTGGGTAGGGAAGGGGGTCTTGTCTTCTCACTCGTCTTGTGGTAAGACACTGTGACTCCGGTATCAGGACTCAGAACCTCATGACCTCATGGGGGAGAGGAAGTGATTAATGAGGTCAGATAGTCCTCTTGGTGACGTTAGCCTACCCGGCAGCTAGAGAAAGCAAGTCTAGTCCCCCTGGGCGACCGCTTTCAATTCTTTTTCCATATGTGCTCCTGCTGACCCTCTACCTAAAGTCCTGTCCCTGCTTCTGCCGAACCCCTGTGATGCTCAGTCAACTGCACACCGCAAGTTGAGTACTTCTTCCTCTTATTTTGAGATAAATTTTTTGCATTTGTGTCCATTGGCAACTGTGAGGTTGACTTGAGAAGTACTAATTTCAACCAGATGAGATTCTTATGCTTTAATTGCAGCACTATCTGGCAGAGTTATTGCATAATTATTGTGAGAAAATCTAAACACTGTTTAAATAGCATTCATATTTGGACCAGTGTCTGAGAACTTTTTTTTTCGAGCTAGTGCTAGAATAAGATGTCCGATGAACGTTTTCACATTTTGTTCGTTACAAAAATAAACTTCACTGTCTTTTACCCCCAATTGCAAACCAAAACCCAAAGGTCAACCATAACCTCAGTCTGTTTTCCAACCTCTAACAGGTTCTCTCTTCCACAACAGTTCTATATGCCACTCCTCTCATCTTCCACTCAAATCCAATTTATTTGTGTTTAGAAAGGTCTGTTGTTCCCAGCTACCACCATGAATTATCATTGAGGATGGTGTGTTCAGATGATTTTTATTGTTGGTTTTGTACCACACACAATAACTTGTATCCATGCCAAAAGATTTCAGTTTTGGTTTCATTTCACAAAAACACCTACTGAATAGATTGCAATACCCCTCAAACGGCTTTTGGGAAACTGCAAAGGCGTGTTCATATAACTTTCTTTCAACAGTGACTTTCTTTTGGCTTTCTGTTTTCTGGATGGGTGAGATCAGAAGGCAGCTGGTTGAACTGAATTTCTTTCAGTGGTCTCGGATTAGGGATGGGCGAAATGTGGAAAAACATCCTCTAAAGACTTTTGAGAGGCACCGTGTACCTCTCGGTGATATCCGGTTTTAATTGCTTCGTTGTCATGCAAAACAGCTGGGGCTTGAGTTAAATATCACACGTTAGCAAATGGCACAATAAATTGACTAACAGTAAACACATGTATATGTCTATCTCAATCAAAAAGACATGCTAAGGCTTTTCGGGACAGGGCATCCTGTATTTTCTTTAGTAATAGTGGCATTTAAAACGCTGCCTGCACCTGGCCTCAGCAGTGAAGCTGAAGCATTTCAACATGTTAAATGTGATGACTCAGAGCTAAATTAGTTATGTCTGTCCTGGCTGGAAATTGATTGTGAATACACTGCACAGGCGTGCAATGCGCTGCCGTCTCTCCCTCTTTAGCGATTCCTTTCATCACCGCCTGGAGAAATGTCATGACTCGTAGAAGTCCACGTGGCACAGAGAATCGGGGGAAGAGGAGTACTGGAAGTAGAACGGGGCTGGGGAGTGGTAACTGGGGAGAAAAGCAGCGGTCGGTTTAAGCTTTTTCCTATTATCCCAGTCTCTCCTCTGTCAAGTGCTGACACACGCACGCTGCCAGCCTTCGCTGTACCCAATTAAATACACACTCATCCAAGTTGTCTCTCCTTCCAGACTTTACACCATCGCCCGCCTGGTCTAGTCACATCTCCCGTGCCCCATAATGAACACACAAAGCAACATATGCAATCCTTTAATGTGTTTCGTTTCCATGGAGGCCGACGCCACTCCGTTTATAAGCAACCGAGATTCTATAGCCATTAGAGTTTTTGTGGAGCCGAGTGCTTTAGTGTTATGTCATCAAGGGCACCGATTCAAGCAAAAGCCCACGTCTAGACTAGTGCGGGTCCAAATTCCCTATAAAAACAATGGCTTTGTT